ATCAAGTCCCGGCTGTGGCGGCTGTATTTCCGATGGAGGCGAAAATGGTGTAGGCCCGTGTACTCTGATTTGGGTGCACGTTAAAGAACCCCAGGCGGTCGAAATTTCCGTAGCCCTCCACTATGGCGTCTCTCATAATCATATGGGGGTTTTGGGACGTTAAACCTCACAAAAAAAATATACATGTTGCTGCATGACACGGATGTCGTGATTATCATGTTTAAATGTGTCATTTACCAATGTCGTCCGTTTGCGTCACGTAATACCAAATTTAGCATATGCGAAGCTAGCGAAACGGCCGCGAGCGCATCATGAGCGTGGCATGTAGTCATGTTGTTACATGACATGCATGTCATGATTTTCATGTTAGAGTCGGTCGCTTGTGTTCGCCATGCACTCATGCCATACCATACCAGTTTTTCAACATGCCATGTGAACGAAACAACCGCAAGAGCTACAAGACCACGAAATATAAATCATGACATTCATGACATAGAAGTCATTATTTTCATGTTATGAGTAGTCAAATATGTTCGTCATACAGTCTTGTTATGGCATACCAAGTTTGGTATCGATACCATTATCGAAGCGGCCAGGAGAGCTAGAAGTCGTAGGTGGATAGATAGATAGATAGATAGATAGATAGATAGATAGATAGATAGATAGATAGATAGATAGATAGCATTGCATGCCTCGAACTCTATGTCATGCGATGCTCGCTTGCACTTACGCTCAAAGTCGCCGATGTTCGCTAAGAAATGCTTCGCATTAAAAACAAAAAACAAACTGGCAGATCTCACGTACAGTGGGAATCGATAATATGCGAAGTCGCCGAAGCACGAGTGAGGAATGTTATTAAAATTTTGACCAAATGGGGTTCTTTAACGTGCACCCAAATCTAAGCACACGGGCCAACAGCAATTCCGCCTCCATTGGAAATGCAGCCACCGCCGCCGGGATGCGATGCCACGACCTGCGCGTCAGCAGCCGAGTACCTTAGCCACTAGACCACCACGGCAGGGCCACGCATGTATCCCCATTTGAAGTATATGTAGAAATGGAAGACAACCGTCAGCTTAACATTCTAGCAACTGTTCAACGCACAGGAAGCGAGAGATTGATAGAGAATGCAACCACAAAGACGAAAATCGTCACGGTCATTCATGCCGGATAAAGCGAGCTTCGTACCACTGATCATAGGATAGTTTGCTTGTGTATGTACTTCATTGCTTTGGTATCATGTGTACGCCAAAGTTTAACGCATTTAGGCGTTAAAAACGCACGCCAGAGTGCTTGGCTCGCTTGCGATGCTCGCTTGCACTCAAATTGCAGCGCACCGAAATAACTGAAACATCTTTAGCGTTGTACCGGTAGTTCGTTTTGATGAGCCTCCTGTTTTTCTGAGGCGAGGTTGTAGTGACGGAAGAAGCTTGCCAGAAACCACGTCTCAAGATACCACACCTCAAGAACGACGAAACATGAGGGCCTCGGCATGTTCGCTTGCGGACAGCTCTCTTTGCACTACCCATTTATGGTGGGCGCGTCAATGGGGGCGCTGGGGGCGGCATTTTTCGCAGCGCCTCCTGGTAGACGTTCATAGGTAGATTTAATTGCGCGTCCGGAGCAGCCTGCCAGACATTAGAGAGTTTTAGTATTGTGTACGCTGCGTACGTGGCGGCGTTGCGTACGTAAGGACGCCACGTTCGGCGTAGTGCGCATGCGCAGACCTCAACGCGCACGTATCGCGTTACGTACGCAGCCACTACGTACGCACGCATGAGATGCGTGCGTGCGTACGCATGAGGTGATCGCGCCGCTCTCGAACAAGTTCGCGACAGCGCGAGACTTCATTTTGCCAAATGGCGGCATCGAAGGCAAGCACCGACCGGCTCTGTGGCTTAAAATATGACCATAATCTGGCTATAACACTTGGATTGGCTCACATTGGCTGTCAACAACACGTACTTCTATTTTGATGTACCAGATGACGCAACACGCTTCACGCTCGTTACGTACGCGGGTACTACGGCGTACTAAAAGCCGATTAGTGGCAAAGGACGCTACGTAACGCAAGGCGCTTGCGTGATGCGTACGTAGCACCATTCCGCAGTACTAAAACTCTCTATTGGCAATGTGAGGCTGCGTCCGTACAACAAAACCTGTCTAGTGACCAGTGGTTATCCATACGTGCTACGTGCCCAGCCCATGTCCACTTCTTCTTGATTTCAGTTATGATACCCTTGATTTCGGTTTGTTCCCTAACCCACTCTGCTTTAATCTTGTCTCTTAGGGTTGCACCTATCATTTCAGTTTTCATCACTCGCTGCGTCGTCCTCAATTTAAGCTGAACCCTCTTTGCATAATGCTCCAGGTTTATGCTCCGTGGGTAAGTACTGGCAAAAGGCAGTTGGTATACACCTCCCTCTTGCGGGTTAGTGGCAGATTACCATTAATGATTTGACAATGCTTGCTGAATGTGATACACCTCAACCTTATTAAATGCGAAGCATTTATTTGTGAACTTCGGTGACTTTGAGCGTATCTATCAATATGTCTAGCCGCTTACCCCCTTAACTTGGCGCGAACCAAAATTAGTATGGGAGGGTAAGATGGTTTGACGAATATGACGCGCTGGCCAAGACATGAATCATGTCACAATGCCGTCGCATACGTCGTCCAACACTTACCGCCAGACTGTGGCACATACCCACGTGCGGGTATGTGCCGTTGGTATGCGAGAATGTGCCACAGCTGATAGACACTTAGTTTCTACCCAGGAATGACGAGAGCACGCATGGGTAATTTTAACGCACGAGCTTTAAGAAATACCCGGCATCGGTAGCGTCGACCCGATGAATGCAAAGAATAACTGTCAGAGTCCCAGCTGGAATCAAACCCAAGCATTGCACGTGGCAATGAAGCATTTTACCACAGAGCTACGCCAGGTCTCGGAACTAGTTTTCAAATAGACGCTAATCTTTGTGAAACGTCAATAGTGGTTGCGGTGTTGCCTACCCGATTTTATAAGGATTACGTACGTACTCCTTTGATACAGCCGTCACGTAGGGTTAACGTCAATTGTGGTTTGTCGCCACGTGCTGAAGTTGATTTATGTAGCAGTGCCAAGGGCCAGCATCCTCGCAAACATTAGCGTTTCGTATCAGCTTCTGATGTTGCTAATACGCATGTTCCTGTTGGCATCGTTGCGCAAGTGCAAACAACTGGTTATATAAACATCTGCAACTCTTCAACATACGTCTGTGCGTGCAACATTGGTACATATATTTAGCGTCGTTTCATGACATGTCGCCGAATAAAAAAATTGCAACACTGTCACCTTCCCTTCGCATGCTTCGCATGCTTCGCATAACGTCGATGCCCAAGTACGTGGGATCTGCCGAATCTTCTAGTTATTTCACTCTCGACGGGTATTATGATGACTCTTAAAATTTGTTTTGGTGCATTACTTTTAGCACTACGTACTCGACAAGAAGTTTATGCAGGTGCACCGAACCTATTTTCTGTCAATATTTTCTGTGTCGACTAGGCAGAGAAGATGGTTATTGGAACAACATATGAGATTGAAGGAAGTAGCGTTGATATCGAAGAAGGCAAAGAGAAGCACACAGTATACAAAGACAAGCGCAGCGCTTACTTTGAGCAAGAATACTTACTTTGCGTGTTCACATCTGCTCATACTGAACACCCAACAAAATATCAAGGTTGCAGCTGTGCACATACTCTTCTCATGTCGTTATCGCCATGGAATACTTAGCTAGGAAAGTCAGCTTTTTGCACACAAAGCTGATGATGAGTAGTTAAGACAACTCTGATTCGCAAGAGGAGTGGTGGCTGCCTCGATTTTTTTTTTTCTCTGAAGGGTCGACTTACAGAAAGATAAACCCTAGAATCCGTCGTGAAAAAAATTGCTCCCACAATCGAACAGTACACACTAAGATAGCCTGAAATCGCTTTATGCAGATAGTTTAGTGTTCTATTACCTGATCGTTGTACCATCGACCTAACTTCACCACATGAGATAATATATCGTACACAACACATTGCGTGCTTTCAATGAAGTGTTGTCTGAGCTTAGTTTTGCATAATATAACGTAATGTGCCACATTACCGTGCAATCTGCCTAAATGAGGCGACCCTAGACTGACAGGTTCCTCTTGGGCTGTGGACGCACACTTAAAATATTCGCGAAATCAAGAGGCCACAGTAAGTACTCTTTCTGAAAATAGTGTGCGCCGAAAAAAAAAAAGCAATGGCTTGTCTGTGTCGAACATACCCGAATCAGGATTTCCGGAAAGCTGAATACGTAGTCTAAAAATTGGAATGATATCTTCCTCTGGAAACTCATGCGTAAATAATGTTGGACAGCTTTAAAAAAAAAACACCACGAATAAGCCGTATGACTACAATCAAGTAAAAATTGTTAGATTGTCATGAACTAGATACTAAGCAGTCGGATAATCTGCGACCCGAGCAAACTGTCGACAAAATTCCGATTACATTTGGTTCAAACTCTTCGAAGTTTTATATTGGCCTCGAGGACACACCGCGACGCCATCTACGTGATGACGTCACTCATAGGATGCCGGGTTCACTGTCTGCTAGAACACCTCATTTCCTGCGCTTTGCTGTGATCAACGTGCGTGCTTCCCTTATAGTTTTGTAGCTCAGCGCTTAAAGATGCGGTAAGACCTGATACGGGCAAGCAAACTTTGAATTGGTGCCCCCGGTGGCACTCTAGTGTCTTATTTGGATCGTAAAAAAATTGTGACTAAGAACCGTTTCAGCCATGGGGGAGGATGCAAGTGGTGTCGCGAAAGCAAAGCTGCTGTAATCCACAACTACGCATTCTACCTGTGACGTCAAAACGATCGCAGCGCTGGCTTCTCTAGTGGAGGCCCTCTCGGCCAATACGTTGACGGCACGCTAGGTGGCGTACGTCGGTTGTCCCCGAGTAAAGAGTACACCACAGTCGGTGCGGGGGGTGGAGCAATAAAATTTATTTGATGTTCGAAAAATCGCCAGTTGATGATAACAAGCGAATGTCATGTAGACCCACGAGACACGTGCACACAAAAGACACACGAGGTCGACACATAAGGGCACAGACACATAAATGAGATTTCGAGACGCACATCAGTCTAAGAACATAAAAGTGTATACCTAAAAGCGAGGTCTCAACGCTGCAGCTGCCGAATTTAGGGCGTCGTACGTGCTGCCTGTTCTACTGCAGTTTACGGTAGAGCGGCTTCGCGAGGGCCGTGAAGGTCTGTGTAGAGCACATGATGCAGGGCTTCCCTGACATCACAATTCCTGGCGGCGATGGGTCCGTCGCTTCGCCTTCGGGTCGACGAATCCACGTCATGCTGGTCTTCGAGCCCGTATCGATATCCACGTAGTGGATGTGGATGTAGAATATGGATGGCAGTTGGCTGGCCATGCCTTCAACGACCATCTGCGCTCTCGATGAGGGCAGCCTAGTCCTGGTGAGCAGGCATAGTCGTTCCAAAGCGCTCCCAGGGCATAGGAAAGTCTGAAAAAAAAAAAAGCATCTTTGTGAACTGTGCGCTGGTGCTGAGATGGCCAAAATGTTTCGCTGTTTCACAAGATTTTTTTTTCACCCACTACTTAATAGCGATCTTCACATTGTACCTCCAGCTCGCATATGTCACCGCATCATCTATTGCAAGTTTTTTTTTTCCGATCCCATGCCCGTGCATGCTCAAACATTTTTTTCTCTTCCCAAACCAGCAAAAGACAATCTACCTTTCTCACGATATCTCGCCATAGTCGCCTACCTTTAAGAACAAAATTATCTGGGGTTCTTCGACTCCAAAACATGAAATAATAGACCTGTCATCAATATTTATGCAAAACATATCAAAATGACGCAAGAAAAATATTTTGACACATTTGCCTATGCTCTGCAGAGCGTGCGGATGCAAGGCAAAATTTCCTAATGTCATGATGCTAGGTAGAAGTAGGGAGGCGATTGAGCAAGAGGTGCTTGAAGCATACCTATTCAAGAAGCAACGAGATCTATATTAGCGATACGTTGGTGGCACTACATTCAGCTGAATTCATTGCTTTTTTTTACAGATTTCCGAACTAGCACGTGCATTGACAGTGTCCGTTTGTGTGATGTGACGTATGGTGCGTTATTGCGAATGTGTGGCATAGTGTATTTATTGCAATAGCTTTGCCAGAATAAAGTTAGCAGCGAGCTGACGCTCTTTCTTTTCGCCAACTCTTCTCCAGTGATTTACGTATAAATTTCCTGTAAGATGCACCAACCAGCCCTACAATAAGCGTTACTAAACATATAAATTGTTACTAAATAAATATATTATTGTGACCACCTTATTGACTGTATAGTACACCACACCTTATGTAAACGCCCTCTGGGATATTTATTGACGAAAACGAAAAGGATATTAACTAAAAAACGCACAACAGAATACGAACGCCGATTTAGATGCCATGTTACTAAGAGGGAGAAATAACCCATTCTGTACACTAAAACACTGTTTGTAAGGCCCATCACGTGCAAGCGGCATTATTTCTGAAAGTAAAGGCGCCGGCTCTCAAAAGACGGGTAACTTATATAGGAAAACTGTAGCGCCGTTTATGTCACCACCACAAGCTAAAAAAAAAAAGAGTGATAACATTAACGCCAAAAGCTTCACTTTTCACTTTCTCACCAAAATCACTGATGATGCCATCATGTATACCAATGTGTTCCGTAGTTCGGCCGCTTTAGGAACTTACTACGAACTACGTAGACCCATGGTAAGAGCTGGATAAATCTTTGACGTTACGGTGGCTGCATTGGCAAGAACCTGTCATATTTTTGTACGCGTTTTCAAGCTTATTAAGAGTCTTCTCATAGTGAGCTTGGTGTTTTTGGTATCCCAAAAGAAGGTTTGTTCAGTTGTACGATGACAATAGTTTTTTTCTTCTATTTATTGTTCTTTTAAATAACAAAACGCCGCTGCGAAAGAAATGACTCTCAAAGGTACCTACCTCGAAGGACTGCTCGGTGAAGTCGATGAAGGCCATCCTGACGACGAGAGAGCGGAGTGTTCTACTGGAGCACAGGGCGTTGGACAGAGCCCTGAAGTCGAAACGCGGCTTGTCAGAGTCGTCGATGAAGCGCACATGGCATACCCAGAAGCACCGAAGGAACTCCAAAGAAAGCAAGCTTGGCACGTTGCTCAACGTAAGACGGCCGGACTCGATGACAAACACGCTGGCATCCTCAGGTTCGATTGTCAGATCGCTGTCGCACGAAACGCAACGCTTGTGGCGACCGTCCAAGTTGATACGGATGTCCAGGTCTTCGATGTCGTCGAGCCCGAGGGCGAGCCGCCGCACGGCGCCTTTCGGGTGCAGGCCACAGGGTGGTAGGGACAGAGCTCGAAGGCGCTGCAGGGCGGGCGCGTCTAGCGTCACCGTTATGTCGAAACCGTCCTCGAAGTGAAAGGAGCTGACGTTGAGCTCAACGAGGTTGACAAGCGCAGCGAAAAAGTCGCGGAGGGTCGCGCTGTGTCTAGGGCTGATGGTCGGGTACTCGGTTCGCTCAGGGTTCCGGGCGTACAGCAGCATGCACAGGCTGCGTATGTGGCTCCAGTTGTGCTGTATGCCGGCAATGAGGAACTGCCTCCCGATATCCGGTGTATCGAAGGCTGCAAGTACGACAGGCTCATCTGGGAACACAGCATTGGGCAAGAAGGCCAGATTTCGCAGCTGGACGCAGTTAAAGCCCTGTGATCTCTTCCTGAACACCACGTTCCCTTGAAGGTTAATGCAATAACGCAAGTCCAACACCTCCCCGTGGGCTGACTGCGTCGTGAAGAGTGCCTCGCTGGTACACTTAAAGGTCTCGAGGTTCTGCAAGTTTTCGGTGGTCGTTGTACACGTCATCGCGCAGAGGTCTGCACTAACTTCACGCAGGAAGTGAATGTGCAAGTCCTTCAGGAGCGGACAGTAATCCAGGAACTGCCGCAGCAGCTGCACGTTGTGATCGCCCGCGACCTCGACGTACATCTTGCAGACCATGGTGTCCTTACGCACTTGCACGTTTTTCAAGTGCTTGATCTTCAAGAGTTCTTCCTTGGCGCCATCCTCTGTGTCGACGAGTGAGAATTGTAGCTGCGTGACCTTCGGCAAAGAGTTCAGTAGTCGATCCAGAAGAAGGCTAGCCTTCAGAGGGCACGCAATGCACGAGAGGGTTTGGAGGCTTTTCATGTCGGAGACGAGTGACAACAGGGACGCTGGTTCCGCTACGACGCAGTTGGACAAGTTAAGCGAACGCAGGTAGCCTTGCGCAGCGACTATCTTGCCTCGGAGCACGTCCTCGCTGGCGTTGGCGGGCAGCTCGTACGACGACATTGCGAGTGTGTCTGAAGTGATGCGCCGAGCTCGATCGAAGGGGAAACTGTTTTCTGAGCAGAATGCGTAGCGCCCAAATCGCTGTGAATATGTCATATGACAGGGTGTGTTATCTCGCAACGATCCTGCCAGGGCTGCGATTCCACGTCACCAACGAAGAAATTAAGACGTGGGTGTTCAACTACCTGTAAGAATGTTTGTTCACATTTTATATCGTTGACGATTAACCTTGGATAATGGTGTCACGTGCCAATGATATCTCTGCGCGAATCATTGCGCCACTGATAGCCGTGGTTGGCCAGTCGGTCAGTCAGTCAGTCAACAAACTTTTCGAGTGATAGGGAACTACAGAGTCGTAGCTGCGGGCCGCGCCCACTAGCGGAGACGATGTTCTTCCGTGGTTGGTACATGCCTAGCGTTTGCATTCGGATATTCATAATTTTCTTAAGGCGTGCATTTATTAGCAGCATTTCCCATCGTGTTAGTTGCTTACGAACAATAGCTGTATCATGAATGAGTGATAGGTACCTATTCACGGGCACAGTATCGTCGTGTCGTAGCAGTTGTCTTCAATCGCGAACGACTTTTTCCATATATCTCGTGGTGGTTGTTAGTTATTTTACATTCGATACTTACTTGAGTAAGTAGTAAGTTTCATGTGTAAGTAAGTTTTATGATTTACACACTTGGGTAATGGTAACGCTGGCGCCAGCAATGCACAGTGACACATAACACCACTGCCTTGGCATTTTAGTGGTATGATGGAAAGCCAGGCCGCCCGCCTCTTGTACCCAGAAAGAGCAAGTTATTGTTTCGGTGGGGCACTGTCTTCGCTGTCTGATTGCACCAAAATACTTATCAATGTTCGGATGACGCATGTGTGACAGTTGTTTGACACTCACGGAATAATCATAGCAAAAGCATCTGCATAATTTAAAAAAATCCGCAATTCGACGCTCTTAATTATACAATTGCCTCAAGCCGATGTTGGCTTCGATGCTTTTTGAAATGCAAATTGGCGTTGTTCGCGAGGGGAAATGCGAGATAGATGCTAATACAAACTTAGGCCTGAGTGGGAGTCGAGTTTAGGACGATTGCGTGACAAGCTGGTGCCACGCCCATCACTGAAGCTTTATCGAAAAAAAAAAACAATACACTGACGATTAGGATACCCCATAATACAAATTATCAGCGCATCTTATGTTGGGGCGAATCCAACTGTGAAGTTTCGGCTAAAGCAAGGTGTCGACTATGCCGTAAGTCATAATTTCTGTGAAATAGGACCACACCCTTCACGCGATTCTCCTTTCCGCGGATGAGCGATGTATACCTGCTTCACATTTGCAAGACATGATATGCACTTTGTGGACGCTGCATTTGTTCGATGGCGAGGAAGGATTATGGCCGGGAACATTGCTGCGGGTGGGAAGCATGAAGCTCGTTGCACAATTATCAATGTGTGATGACTGGACGTTGTTTTATTCTTCGGCCGGGCTTTATTATATGGGTTACCGCGATTCCTCGGCTGACATGACGGCTGTGTAGGGCCGGCCTGGCCTCTTGCGCCTTGAACGACGAGAGTGTTGCAGTTCTTGCCACCGGTTCCATATCACCAATGACCGGCTGTTTTCCTCGCCCCTGGATGACGCGCACAGAGGCTGTGGTTGGCCGAGCTTCCGCTTGAAGGCGTTGCAAGCTTCAGCGCGCAGGCGACGCGCTCGCGTGTTCCCTTTCATGAAAATATACATCGAATTTACAGTACCAAATCTACTATAAAAAAGGACATGCAGAGATGGTGTGCCAGTTGCATCTAATTTTACCACACCACAAACTACTAATCTATGTAAGAATATTTAAAAAGAGAACACAAAAATGCAATCAACATAAAACATGAGTAAAAAGTGTTCCACTGTTGCGTTGAAGTATAGGGCATACCGTTAGCTAACTTGCTGAAAGCAATATATCCGGCAAACACGAAGACCGATTAATGCAAGAATTGAGGAGAACACATAGAATTATGGAGAATTGGAGTAGTGCTGAAAGGCGAGCTCGCTGGTGCGCATAGATCGTAATATTTTTTTTTTCTAGCGCTGACCGACACCCGAACGAAGAGCGCCAGTGTTGTCACCTCTCTCTGGGCGTGTAATTATTCGAAATAATCAAAGAGAATGCCATGTTAATACTATCATTGCATCTAAAACATTATCTTTTATTTATCTATTCACCTTAACTATACCGATGAATTAGCTTATATGTTTAACTTTTAAGTATAGCCTTACAATAGGAGACACCCATTTGTCACAAATATTTTCAATTCTCCTTAGATTATCTCTTTCGCATATTCTTCGCCCTCTTTTTTCTCCTCTATTTTTCTACTTTTTATTGTTATCAATTTTTGTTTCACAAATTCTACTGCCGCATGCCTCTTGGCCGATCCCCCGTGGTTGGTTGAGCCATTCTGCCGAGAATTATCATCATCATCATCCTCATTTGGGTGACGAAAAGTGTCTCACTGTACCATCGATTAGCTTATTTGGTTCACTAGAGAATCATTCGGAGGCGCAAAACTCAGAAAGGCTGGTGTTGTGTACGCGAGGGTACTTTTTTCTTATCGCGATGTCGTGCGTCTTGTACGCGACATGTATGTGAGGAACGCACGAAGTAAAACAGTTGAAAGTTGCGATTTCTTCAGTTAACAGGGGTATTCGTCTGGGTGACTTTGTTGCGATTCTTTCAGTCAGCCCCTCATAAAGACTTAGAAGCGAAATCATTTATCTTCAACGACATCGCACTACTTGAAACAGGTATGATGACAACTCTGCTGATAAATTTCGGTCAGAAAGCACAAGGAAAAAAAGTGTGTGTGTTTTTTTGAGCAGTTTAGTACCCCTGTCTCACGTGTCAACTTGAGTGAACTTTGAGCGAGTGTGTATACTTACGCTCACACAGTGTCATTTTGGGGGTTCGCTGCTACACGAGAAACAGAAGCGCACTATGGGAATGACGACAGTGACACTTAACGGATTTGTAGCGCAACATATATTTGTTATTGTTGTGCTCGTGTCTCATATAGTCGGACCAGGCTGTCTTCATGGAAGTAGCACCAGTGGCACATTTCATCGCAAATGACTAGATAACGGCTCATTGGAGCATGTGCAAAAGTGCCTTGAAGTAAACAACGCGACGGACGCTGCCACGGAGGAAGGAAAAAGGTAAGGAGAGGGCATGCCCAGCCGGCGCAGGGCGTAAAAAATGTGGCGGAAATGACATCATGGCGGCCATAGTCAGTAGGCACAATGGTGGCGTTGTTATGGTTACGTGTTGCGCAGTGAAGCTGGTCTAGCAGTGAGCGGCCGCGGCTGGCGGCGGAATGTGTGCCTCCCCAGGTCTCGTGCTGAGCCGTGGCGGACAATATCTGTGCTCTGCGCCGCGTTATTGGTTACGCAGTGTTCGTCTGGCTGTTGCATTACTCTTAGCAACGTTTACAAATCTCTTTGTCCATCACGGGGTTCCAACAGTGCGTAGAACAAGTGCATATCCATGTGTCGTGCGGCGGATGACGCGGATGAAGCAGTTAGTGTTCAGCGAAATGGCGTTGGGCACCATGACGAAGCTGAATGACGACGAACGCCTTGCAGGTCAGTGACGGTTGAGCAGTGCTCCTGCTTGTGACAACGGACGATGCTGTTGAGCCCAGCAAGACGCCGTGAGGACCATGTGCACATACGTAGTTTCGTGTTGTGTGTGTGTACAGTAACAACTTGCATGTGCGTATTAAAACACATTTTCTGTTCCGCTTGGTACACTTTCCACCAGCATTGCATGTAATCTCAACGTAACAGCAACCACGTTCAACTGTCACTAGCACCGTGCTCAAAGTCACCACGGTCGCAGAATGCTGACGCAGGTGAGTTTCACGCGGAACACGGACACAGTGGCAGGACGCTGCGTCAGTCGCGTGGCGGAATGCAACCGTAGAAGGCGCACGACCGATTGTGTTGTCTGTACAGTTGCTGAATTAATGACGTGAAAGCACTCGCCGTCGTCAGTGCATCTAGCGCGCGTTCTTTCGTAGTTGCTTCGTTGTCAGCGAGCTGTTACTCTTTGTTATTACTCGGACGAAGCGATTTCGCTGAAGGTGTCTTGCTGGCTCTGAGTGATGAGCCCAGTTCCATTAGTTTCGGATCGTCACGACACACGCGCTGCGCAGCCCACGTGCTTTCCGAGCCAGAGAGGGAGTCGCGCCTTCTGCTTCGCATTCATATGTAAAACAAGAGAGGAGAATTTGCCTACTCAATATGGCCGACTTCCGGCTTCATCGTGGCTTCACAACGAGTGACGTCAGGGCCTCTCCTTACCTTTTCCTTCCTCCGTGGACGCTGCCATTGCGCGGCCCTTGCTGCCGCATCCCCCTAGCGGAAGTGGCCGCAAGCTACCTCGGGGTGAGAGTAACGAGGTTTTTTTCCCTTGTATTATGACTTGTTTTAATACGCAGCAGTATTCCTCATAAGAAAAACAATGTTTTAAATATAGTATGAACGCCGCTTTAGGCAACAGCGTATTTCTGTACAAGCCACTGGTACCGAGGCTACCCACTTCGTCGCAGCCGTCGCAGCGAAGCAAGGTTGGGGAACACACTTGCCGGCAAGTGTACTTTACAGTGAGTCACACTAAACTTTCTCGTGTGACAGCGCACAAATGACACTCGTGGCTAAGAATTTTAACTCAAAATGCACTTAAGTTGACGTGTGACAGGGATGTGACTGCTGCAGCGTTTATTGCTACCGCTGACCTGTTGTGTGGAACAGTACGGCAAGCCCTATATATAATCCACAGGAACTACACGCAGGCGCACTGAAGTTATAGCTGTTGTGACTTATTTTCTGGGTCGAAAAGGCACAATGGTTTGTGCAAATTAATGTAAATTAATGTCTGGTTGAAGGAAACAGTGCAGATACCGATCAAGACGACGAGAAGTATACGTACGCAAACGCAGCACTCACTTCCAATAAGAATATTTATTTTGTGTGCGCACAGCTATTGAGAGAG